CCTCGTAAACCTTATTTTTTGTCACGGATCGGTCATGGTCCAAACTCTTTGTTAGTTCAGTAGCTATATCCATTGAATGATCATAATAATTGTCTCTACTTAGAAGGTAGAAAAATACAATGAACAATGATGAAATACGATCATATTGTTCCCAGTGGGGAAAGTACGCACATGACGTAGGCGTTGTCCTTACTCAGAAGACAGCAAAATACAATGATCAATTGCTAAATACGACCATATTATTCTCAGTGGGGGAAATGATCACGTGACGTAGGCGTCAAGTTCTGTTTATAGAAACACGAAAGTGTTCTGGCTTACAATCACCAGAGTGTAAGATATTGATTTGGTCATTTATAGTGCAAGGTTTTAAAGTGCTCTGGTAAGCAGGACCACAACAGTAAATCATAAAAGCATATCAAGAGACTCACATTTTAAAATCTTGTTTTTTTAAAGCGGGGGAGTCGTCACCTGCGCATGCGTCAGATGGCCATAGCGTGTCATTGCTTACAAACAAGCGCCTGCCAATGAGCCTTTGCGTTTTTAGCATGTGTTGTTATCGTCGCTTGGGACTCAATTCCCGCGAGTGCGCATGTGACGACCCTCCCGCTTTAATATTTGTTTTTACTAGTTTGGTTATTTTTTTTTGGCGGGGGGAGTCCGTAAAATTGTTATTTTCTGACAGTCACCGTGTTGGAGACAATGCCCTCGCTATATTTGTACACACACACGAAAGAAAATTTAAGAATAAAACCCTCACAAGCTTTAATAGGTTAATGCATCCGTTTTCGTTTTTTTACACCACGAAAAAAAATCACTCAAAGAATACGCCCCCAACAGGCGTATTACAATTAATGCGCCCGTTTTTCACATTCACGATTTTTCATTCAGTGGTACCGCCTTCACACACATTTAATTAATTTCAAAAGATACACTGCATTTAAAATTATACACGTCAATTTAATACACACACTCATTTTAAAATACACACAAGTCATTTTAAACACACCCGCAACAGTTTAAAACATATTTTTAACATTACCCATATCATTCTAAATAATCACTATTTTACGACACATGTCATTTTGAAAATACATTGTACACACCATTAAAAAAACGCAATTTTAAAATACACACGCCTTTTTAAACGCGTCATTTTTAAATACCCACGCAATTTTAAAAACACACATCGTCAACTGCGCATGGCCAAAGCGTGTCTTTGTTTACAGACAAGCGTCTACCCATGAGCCTTTGCGTTTTTAGTGTGTGTTGTTATAATCGCTTGTGACTCAATTCCCGCGCGTGTGCATGTGACGACCCTCCCACTTTAAATACACAAGTCATTTCACAATACACGACATTTTGAAAATACACTCTATATAATAGTACACACGTCTTTTTAAGACACGCGCCATTTTAGTATACGTACGCATATCGGGTATAGTACGTCCTTTAAACTGATTAAAACACACACAATGTAACAAAATACACACATAGTTTTCAAGGTTATGTAAGTTGTTTTATAGTATACACAAAATAATTCCCTGCCTTGCATAGACTGTTGGGAAATGAAAAATATTTTCACGAAAATTAGAAAATTAAACTTTTCGTCACAAAATGAGAAAATCTGTCAGAGGTTTACCCGAGGTATTTACATATAAAATATTAAAAGCAATTGGACTGGCCCAATAAGTCGAGAATATTTTTTTTACCAAATATTACAAAAATATTCCCCAAAATTAGAGAATTGAAGGTATCGTCACAAAATAAACAAGGTGTCTACATATAAAATATCGAAGCAATTGGTGTAGCCGTTTTCTAGAAAAAGTCGAAAATAACGGTGACACAAATCAGAGATTTGAAGCTATCTTAATGAAATGAACAAATATAGGAGAGGTCAACCAAAGGTACATATATCAAGAATCAAAGCAAGCGGACGTGTCGTTTTCAAAAAGAAGATAAAAATGTAAATATGACTAAGTCTAAAACGGACCTAACAATGTGAAAATAAAGTTATTCCGGTGTCGGATGCGTTCACTGAAAGACAACATTCTACAAAAATCTTTCATAACTTGTTTAGCAACAACAGAGCAACAGAGAGAGCTTTGACTTGGTTCTCAAATTTCCGTGTGTGGTAATAATCTATTTGTTTCTCCGAATAGATCCATACATCTTCTGTTACTTGTAGACTCATCAGCCTTTCATATATCTTTCTAAGCTCTAGCATTTCACAATGACTTCGATGACCAAAGAGAACTTCATTACCTTTCCCTGACGTTTCTACCTGTAACAAAAAATACCTTCACATATTTATTTATTGAATAATCATAAGATTAAGAAACTGACTGTAAGACTCCGACAACCGTTTTTCGATAATCATTCAGTGGGGTTCATTCCTATTGTAATGAACACGTACATGCAAATAAAATGGCTGGTAC